GCTCTGGAGCTGCTAAGAGCCAGGTGTCTCCTCGGTGGCTCCCCTGCGGGGCCCGAGTGGTAATGGTGTCTGTGTGATGAGGGCTGAGCAGGTCCTGAAAGCGAGAGTGAGTTACCTTAGAGAGTGGCCCGAATGTCCAGGATCCTGGCTTCTGCTGTACCTTGAGTACTGGACTGTTCCTCCACAACGGAAGTTAAGAAGGTTCGTTTGGAGTGCAGGAGATCCCTCAGGACTCATCCTGGTGTTACCATGCCCTGTTCCGAAGGTTAATGGAAAACTGCAACAACCCAATCCAGGCAGGATAACAACCGCCCCAAACCTTTAGGAAGGGGGTATGGGTCACCCCACCAGGGAAAGTACCGGGCTGGCCGAGGCCTGCGCGGAAGCAGAGCGGGGCACAGAAACTGTCTTAGAAGGAGGTATAAATACCAGCTCCACCCACACCGCTGGGGGCAGAAGCAAGGACTGTCATTTCCCTGTGCATTTCTTTCCCATTTTGTTCACGAGCAAGTGCATATACGCCCACATAGGAAGTAGGTGTCTGTTTTCTTCCTTGTGAAATAACAGTGCTTGACTTGAATGCAGTTCTTAGCATTGTTCCATCCATATTCTAACGCTTCACTTATGGAATGTTAGAAGCGCAGGCATCACCCACAGGAAACCGGCCGTCTACTCCGGGGAAGGTGTGAGCGCATTTCCATTCGGACCCAGGATACTTGTATCATGGTAGGAATAGTTGAACTTGAAGACTGAGTGTGCTCGGGTGATGTGTCTGGTTGTCAAGGTGACAAGGGGTGCATTCTGAGAGCTAATTCTGACAGGTCTAACTTGATGCGAGCCGAGCCGTGGCCACCCGGGAGCTGAGTGAGCTTTGGGTGTGTCTGCGGATGACTGGCCTATGGGCCACACACCAGGAGGGAAGACGGAGCCTGGATGGGTGCATCAACCAGGAGGCTCACAGTTTGGAGAGAGTAAAGAGAGAAGAAGGAGCTGTTTCCGTTTCGGGAAAGCTCTGGTCCTGGCCATGGGCTTGGGAGGTCGGTCTCCAGATTCTTGAGCCCACTTTCCACCCCAAGCTTGTACCAGAGACTTACAGTGAGCTTCCTGGCCAGCGCCCTTGCTGGCTGCAGCTCGCCAGTGTGCAGACAGCTACTTTGGATTCTGCTGCGTGGCCACAGCAGATGGCTGTGGGGGGCTTCTGCTTCTGCTCCTGGAAGCCCCTCCTCCATCCCTTGGGTCAGCACTTTGGACCCTGACCCTGTCCCTCCAGGAACCCAAGACACCCCATGAGAGCTGCCAAGTGGGGCTCCTTCACGGGGAGCAATGAGGTAGGAAGGTGGGCCAAGAAGGGGCCCAGGACGCTCAGTGTCTCCACAGAGCTGCTCAGAGGGCCTGGCCCAGGCCCAGCTGTCCTGTCGGCTTTGTGTCCACAGCAGTGGCTCCCATGTTATTGACTTGAGCACGCAAGGCCAAGAGAAGCCGTTGTCTCCTGGACCGCGCCCAGTGGGACATCCAGTGTGTGTTCAGGGTGGCAGTGCCTCCGCCGGGACCCACAGGCACTTGGAGGACAGTTGCCCCTGCAGTGACCCGCAAGCACGCAGTGCTGATGGGGTGCTCCGTGGAGCGGGACCCGGCCCAGGGCATGGCAGCCAGCCGGCAAGTCACCCTCTGTGTCGGATGGCTTCATCGTGATGACGCAGAACACCCAGCCGATGCCTGGGCAGCAGTGAGAACCAGCTTGTGAGGCCTCTGCAGGGAGGTCTGTGGGAGGAGCCCCGCGGAGTGTATGCTGGGAGAGGCAGCAACCCCTGGCCTGCTCACCTCTGGAACCTTCCCTCCTGCAGGCAGCACCCCCAGGGGAGGGCCCCTGGCAGTTTGGGGATCCCACATCCTCCCCTCCCCTGGCTCTGAGAAGCTCAGCCCCACCCACAGGGAGCAGTGCGGCCCAGCCTGCTCAGATGCAGGTCATCCCGAGGACAGCTCAGGGCCAACTGCACAGCAGGCCTCATCCCTCAGCCGGGAGCCCCGTCCGCCCCCTGGGCCCAGTGCAATGAGTGAGTCTGCTGGATTCTCAGACATCCCTGGCACAGGCCGATAACTTCATGCTTCCAGTAACTTCTCCCTGGTCTTCTTGGGGTCGAGATGCCAAAGGGATCCCAGGAGATTCCTGAAGCAAGTGCTCCATGGACTGAGACATCACGTGGAGCTCCCAGAACTCGAAGACACAGCCCTGGGAGCCTCTGAGGGTCTCGGTCGCTCGTCCTTGTGGGCAGGGACTAGGGATGGCTGGCTCTGCTTTCCTGCCATAAGCTCTGAGGCCCAGCAGCCAGGGGTCAGAGCGTGTGAGGCTCCTGCCCCACTGGCGTCCTCCAGAGAGAAGCACCAGACCCAGTCCCTCCCCGCCCTGCTCAGGGAGAGGGGGACACTGGGCCCGAGTCACCCAAATGTCCCTGTGGTCTGAAGGCTTCCAGGCAGAGAGAGGACCCTTCGGCCACAGAGCCTCTCCACGTGGTCACTTTGGCAGTAGCTCTGGCCCCGGGGCCAGGCGGCTTCAGGCAGCTGGGGGAAAGGCTGTCTAGAGGATGCTCCTCAGTGAATTCCCTTTTTTCCCTTGTATCCACCATTGATGAAAGCCTTTGAAAGGGAAGAGGGTATAAAACAGTCATTTGTTGAACGTATCAAATCCTGGTGGGCTCCAACAATATTTGTGTTGCTCTGGATGCACAAAGCTTCCCATCCACTGTCATTTCCAAAGCTTTGTCCCGCCACCATCCCGAAGGCCTGGCTCATTGTGAACTTCTCTGAGCAGGCTGATCGGACCTATCCGCTCCCACTCTTCTTCCTGTGTCTCCAGGCCTTTGCTGAAGCTCGCCCCGCCGAGCAGCCCGCAGCCTCCTCTTCGTGTCAGGTCAGGGCCGCCCTGGGAGCTCTCCTGGTTCATGCCCAGTCTGGCGAGCTGTCAGAGGGCCTCCACCGATCTGAGGGGCCGAGGGTGCCCGAGCCTTTCCCCCTTGTAAGAATGGGGCCCAGGTCGATGAGGGTTCCTCTGGATGATTTTTTCTCTGTACTGATAAACTCCTTATAAATAACATAACCAGCATTTCATTGACAGGCGGCAGTGCAGGGCATCATGCTCAAGTTATCAGCTAGTTTCCCAGGTGTGGCAGCCACAGACGTCTTCTCCTCTGAAGTAAATAAAGTTCTACCTGTTTAACAAGAGCCAGTTTAACATATGGGAGGCGCTCACTGCTTTTAGTTTTTGCTGCTCTTGCGGATTTCTTCTTTGAAATAGTGAAACCAGTGAGACCTGCAATACTGAGTTGTTGTTACAAGTTGTATGATAGGCTGAAAAAAAGACTTTCAGTGATTTTTGAAGGGGATCAGTTTCTGATTTAAAGAAGAATAAACATTAGGATGAGTCACGTGCTGTGGGAAAGGGTTGGGGAACAGAAAGATGAACATGTCACAGCCGGCCTTTGCTCCCAGAGGCTTGAAATGCTCACAGCTGTCTGCTCCGCCTGGCCATCTGATGCCCTCTGCCACGGGACAGTGCAGCCAGGAGGCCTTGGCCCGATGCTGAGCAGGTGCTGAGCAGGTGCTGAGCGATGGCAATGCATGCCAGCACCACACTGGCAGACTCGTGAGCCTCCACCACCAGGGAGAGAGAGAACATCAGAGGCCTTTTTCCAAATTTGTCTCAGTTACATTCGCACATATCTTTACATGGAAACTGTGAAATTTGCTTTCAAAGTTCCATGCTGAGAACAACACACAAAACTGTGCCCTTTCCTAGGCAGACGGTGGCATAGCCCGTTTACTCTGTCATCGCTGCATGGTGAGCTGGGCCTGAGGCAGGGACACAGGGAAGCCTCGCGCTGTCCTCAGGGCCCGAGTGCTCTGCACAGGGTGCCCTCCTCCGCCTGGTTACGGCCGCTGGAGGATGTCCCAAGGTCACTCTTGTCCACCATGAACGTTGGCAGCAAGCAGGAAGACAGTGCTAGCACACACACACCCTCCCGGGCTCTGGCCTTGGGCTTGCCAACCTCCAGAGACTCTGCAAACAGATTCGGACAAGATTCTGGAGTTGTGCTGTTATCGGGTAGCTTGCTCCTCAGAAGGGGCTGGCCAGCGAAATGTTCCCGGGTTGGGTTGCTAGTTTCTCTTTCTGGAGTTAGATGGTAGGTTCTCCTCGTCTCAAAGAAAGAATTGGAGGAAAGTGGCCAAAAGCAGTGGCAACATTTATTCAAGAAAGTAAAAGTGAAGAGCCAGAGAGATGCTGGCTTTGCAGAGCAAGCGCGGGCCAACTAAAGAGAAAAGGAGGGTGTGAGCAAAGATCAGAGCACGCGCTGCATCTGGAAACACGGTGCGGCCCAGCTACCCTAGAGAGCTGGGAGAGTCTTTCGTGCACTCCTGGTTCCCTGTGCAATCCCAGGACCTGAGGACCCTGGGAGAACCCAGGATGACCCCACGATGGCAAGGCCAACGTGAGCCTCAGTCACAGGGCTGCGTTCCTGCTGGTGGGGATGTGGCCCGAGTCTGGGTGCTTCCCCCGGGCCACCTTCTGCTGGGAAGCAGCTGAGCGTGGCTTCATCTGTGGTGGCCAGGCCGGCCCCCGGCCCCGGAAGAAAGCCAGGCCTGCAACACCCCCCCAGAGAGTGCTTGGTGTCCTAGCACGGTCCCCCGGGCCTCAGGAGGAACGTGCACCCTGATGCCCCCTCCTCCTGGAAAGGGCAAATCCTGTGCCTGCCGCTTCCAGGAGGGAGCCTGTTGGCCCGTGGCTCCTCCAGTCGCTTGGGCGTCTTTCTAAGTCCCCTTTGCTGCCTGCCCCTTGCTCTCTACCGGGAGCATCCTCCTAAGGCACCCTCTCGGTCTGGGGCCTGCTTCGCTGACTCCCAGAGGCTGCCCAGGCTCCTCCTGTGCTCTTGGTGCTCAGCTCCCACCTGGGCTCGCGAGCTTTCCTTGGCTGTGACAAGGTACGTGAGACAAGCAGCTTACGGGGAGGAAGGTTTTATTTTGGATTCATTCCACGGTGAGCATCTGCAGCCTCTCGAGGAACAGCTGACGTCCACAGAGCCCACGCCTCCCATCTTCCCCCACGTGCACTCAGGCCCCTGGAGGCTTGTGTGGCCCTCCAGGGCTTGAGGCTTTGCCATCTTCTCTTGCGATTCCTCCCAGGTGCCGGCCCCCCCCAACCCCCCGTGGCTTTATAGGGGCAGGATGCTGACTTCTTTTAAGCTGGCTGAGGCTGTCTTACTTCCCGAACTGTGGCAGTCCTGATAGTTTGCACATTTGTGGCCACCCCAAAGAGCAGCGCTGCTATGAACGCATAAATGCGAGCGAAGAGGATTCTCAAATAATGCACTGGCTCAGGGTTCTGTGTGATTTTCCGCACTGTTCTTGGAGGTGGTCCACTGCTCTCACTCCCCCCGGCACCTCTCTTTAGGCACCGTGGAGGAGCCCAACCTATGTGACAATGACATTGCCTCTTGTTGTTGCAGACTCCCTTAAAATCACACTTCTGTGGTTTACAGTCGTAGTTGATTGATTGCACAGAGCTACTGCAGCGATGATGACTGCAGTATTTTCCCGGACCGCAGGGAGTACCAGCTCGCACAAATCCAAGGTCAATAGCGTTTGCACCACAGTGTTCATCTAGTCCAAAACACCAAGAGTCTTCATACTTAGACTGATGGAATGAAACATGTTCATCCACCCGGGGTAGGTGGGTGACGTTGCCACACTGCAGCCTTCCGCAGGGAATATCGTTTATTCCACAAGCTGCGAAAGTGAGTGCTCCATATCTCCTATAACAAAACCCAAATCTGTTGGCTTTTGTATTTATTTGATAGCAGATATCATCACCGTTTCTAGCATTTCTTCCAAAGATTTCTCTGCAGTGCATGGTGCGGTCAGTACAATTTCCATGATAACAGTAGCCCTCTTCAGTGCACGGGGATCCATTTTGTAGATACAGGTTTTCTGGACACAAGACTGTGTTTCCAGGACAGTACTCTGGAAGGTCGCATATATTGAGCATGGCTCTGCAGAGCGTCCCCGCTGGGGCATAGGTGCAGTTCCTGCAGCAGGTTTGCCCATCACAAACGCTGCCGGGCGTAAAGCGACAGGAACTCTCACAACACGGGTTGGCATAACACCGCTTGAAGGATCCGCAATCACACTGCTCCTCTCCTTCCGTTTTTCTGTCCCCGCAAATGTGCTTTGTATAGCTCATATTAAAATATGTAAAGTTTGGATCATACAGGCACAGCACGGAGTCCTGTGAAAATGCGTGTGCCAGGTCCACATAGGAGCAGTTACTGAACGCATCTGTCAGCACAGGATGCTTGTTCATTACGCAGGTGGCCCTTCTCTGGCACTGGCAATAGCGTGAATCGTATTCTAGACCAAAAGATCTCCCAATCTGCTGTGCCCCTACGACAGATACTAGGAATACATGTCTGTCCCTCACACCAAGATAGACCAGGTTCCGATCACTGCATATGCTATACTTGGGTGGAGCAACATCCAATTCGTAAGGTCCTGGAATAAGTATCACGAAGGTTGAAGAGCATGGCCATTTCTTATAGATGACCCTCGTGAAGAACTGAGCGTAAGGACCGTCTGGCACCCTAAAGTCCATGATTGGCACTGGATCTGCCTTATCATATACACTCAAAACAGTCACAGTGTACCTCGCAGATAGATTTTCAAGTATTGCTTGAACCACACCAGCCAGTGTCATCATATATTTCACGCAAACTGTGACATTGCCATGTCTCTTGAACACCACGTTGGTACATTGAAGATGGCCCGATATGCCAAAGGGATGGAATAGATACACTTTACTAGGGATCCTGGGGCTTGCAGTGATATTGGCTCCATCGAACAATGAGTGCTCCTTCTCGGTGGCTCTGTATCTAGGCTCCGTTGCATTGGCGTCCACCGCTATCTGAGACACGATGTGCTCAAAAGCGAGAGAATCCTTGAGGGGCTTGATTTCATAGGTGAGGTCATCCAGCTTGATGATGCCTTCCAGGCCTCCGTAGCATGTGTCGATGTTGGCCACCGAGTGAGGAACTCCTTCCACGTAGCCGAGGTAGTTACAGTCCAGAGGGAAGTAGGGGTACTCCATCTGCAAGGCACCTTGGTCATTCTGCGTCAGCAGCAGCAGATGTCTGGCGAGGAACTGTGTTTTTCTCCGCAGATGGATGATGTGCCTCTGGCCCCCAAAGTGCAGGCTGTAGGAGAGCCAGCCAGGCACCCGAAGGCCTTTGCCATAGTGCGTGTGCCTCCGGGGAACCACCACCTCAGCAGAGATGTAGCGCCACGAGGGGCGGCCGAGGAGGCCCTGGACTGGACCCAGGAGCGCCCACAGCCCCAACAGCAGAAGCGGAGCCCTGAGAGGCACGTTCGTCTCTGCCCACCTCATGCCACTGTTCAGGGAGTCTCAGCTGTGAGGAGTGGATATTGGGGTCTCCTGGGGGCAGCCAGGTCTGAGGTTTCCACTCTGGCCACTTCACCCTGGTGCAGACAGGCACAGAGGGCAGAGGACCTAGGCAGGCTCCCAGCCTGGGAGCCTTTGTGGTCACCTTGACCACCTAAAGGGATGATGAGGTAACAGCCAGGGGAGTGGCAGGCGAGGCCTGGGCATTCATTCGCTCTCCTGGGTTGCCAAGGGGAAGGTTGGCCCGGGAATGCTCCTCTCACTGGACGGTGGCCACGACAGGCTGACCAATTACCTTCGAGCCCTTGGACCAACTGCACGCCTGTGGCTGCTCTAGAAGCAGCAGTCCTCTCAGACTCGTCTGGCTCAACGAGGAGGCTTTCCTCCAGTGCACTGCCACCCCTGTGCTGCGGCCCGCGCCGTGCAAATAAAGACTCACTTGTAAACGTGCCGCCGATTTGTTCCTTGGGGACTGTGGGATCAGAGGATGCTGCAAACCTGCTGGGGATTCTGGTCCTCTCTCGTGCGGACAGGAAGGAGGGTCGTCTCCAAAGAAAGAGCAATTAGCACCAGGGCCTGCTAGCACAGAAGACGGAAGAGCTCCAGAGACCAGCAGCCCCCAGGATGAGCAGCAGAGGCCGGCACTTGGCAGGGTGGACTCATTAGGAGGCGATCGCTGGGCTCGGCTTTAGGACGCAGGTACCAGAGTTTGTTCCTCAGTAGTAGCTCAGCAGAAGTCTCCACCTCAGAGCCACACGCGTTCTCTTAAGGGGTGTGTGTGCAAGTGTGTGAGTGTGCGTGTGTGTGCTCGCGCGTGTGTGTGTCCTGGGGGGGTGTCAAACAGCAGCTGCACTGACCAACGATGAACTCTGCTCGGCCAGGCACTTTGTGCTTTCTTTCTTGGAGAGACGCTGTAACTGCAGGCTGGACCTTGTGACTACTTCGGAGGATTTGAAATTCCACACAATAGAGAGACTTTTGCAAATGACATCTTAATTCCAATTTCACATTTCCAGGCATGTGGAAGAATGAAAATGAGAAAACCGGGGTGCCCAGGGCACTGACTGGCAGTAGCAGAAGGGTTTCAACCCCTGTCTTCACGGTGGAAGTTTCCATACACACATTTACCGGGATGAACCTAAGTACAGCGTCACTGGAGCTGAGATGCATAGGCCCAAGCTCTGGGTCCATGTGTTGTTCCGTATGACTTCTCACTCTGGTGAATGCCCGGCCTTCTGGTCTCACAGGCTGTGTGCTTCCCATTCGTGCTGTGCTTTAGTGGAGATCATTTCACCTGCACATACATTCAGCAGCTCCTTAGGACCACCGAGGTGTGAGGAATGAACTCTGGACCATAAAAGTTGGAGTCAGTCCAGGACCTCCCTCTGATGAGCTGCAGTCTGCTCAGCTGGTCACTTAACAGTGCTGAACTCGCAGTTCCTGAGCAGTGGGCAGCAGACTGAGTAGCTCCCGATTCAGGGTCCCGACTGGCAGATGGAATGTGGATGCCACGCATCTGAAGCCTTGTGAACTGCTGAGGGCCCCAGAAGCTTGATTTTCTGGAGTCCTTTCCTCCGAGGTCTGCAGATGCATTCACGCATTAGCACGATACTGGTAGCCCAGGGACAGCCGCTGCTCAGGAGCCCCAGGCTTCATGGCAGCTTCTGGCACAGCCACTGGGAGCCATTGCACTTGGCTGTGTGCTGCCCTGATCAGACGGGTGCCTCCGTCCAGCGGTCAGGGGCTGAGGGCAGCACCGGGCTCCTCTGCCCACCCAGACCTGGCCACTCGGCAACCTGTGAGCACACACAGCTCCTTCAGACCCTCTGCCATGGTGGGCAGCCTCCGGGGAGGTGGCAGTGCCAAGGGCCCTGGGCAGGGCTCCCCCTCTGGCTGCCTGTCCTCGTCCACCATGAAGCTTCCTCACCCTGGCCCTGGCCCTGGCCTCGAGGCTCTGCTCAGCCACCGTCCAGGAGCCCAGTGAGAAGCCTGCCCCAGGTGTCCCCAGTCCTGTGAGTGTCCCGCACCCACGCGTCGGGTCGGGCTCCCTGACATCCCACCCCTGGCTCCGCAGCTGCTATCAGGTCTTCTCTGCGGCTCTGGGCATCTGCTTCCACCACAGACAATCAGCACTGCCTGCTCCTGTGGTCTCTACAAGCCGCCCCCCGCCATATTCCTACTGTGCTCCTGCAGGTCGCTGACTCATTCCGGAAGCATCCAGGATCAGCTCCCAGGGCAAGCTCCGCCCTGTCTGAGGAGCGCTCAGGAGGGTGGCTCCTTTCACCCTCAGGAATCCTTGGAAGATCCGTGCTGTCCCTAGCCTGCTCTTCTCTATGAGAAAACAGAGGAGCACAGATGGTAGGGCAGAGCCACACCTCGAGGAGTGGAGCCCGAGCTGGAAGCCAGGCCTGCAGGGTCCTCAGCCCTGTCCTCAGCTGCTGCAGGGAGCTGCCGGGGCCTCCCGGGGGCCTGGCTGAGAAGAGGCCTGCTCCCCCCAGGCGCTGTCTCCCTCACTCCCTTGGGCCTCTCAGGGTCAGCTGAGCTCGGTACAAACACCTAGGGCAGCCAGACAGGACTAGGCCCTCGAGGGTCAGTGCAGAAGACGAGAACACATTGTAACTGTGGCGGGAGGCGCATCGGGGGAAGGCCAGGCCGCAAGACAGAGACAGAATGACCTGAGCAGGCCAAGTGCCTCCCCAAGGCATAGCTGTGCTTAGCTGGTATCACCTGGCCTGTAAAGCCCAGGTCCACGTCAGGCTCCGAGGTGGGCCACAGGCCTCCCGACCCAACCCCTCCTCAAAAGGCTCTCGTTCTTTCCATGGACCCTTGCTGCGTGACCTGCTTCCCCTGTGGGTCAATGTTCCCTAAGCGGCTACACTGGTGACCTTGCTGGGCGATCGTAGCTCTGACCCACACTGTACTGCTCTGGTGAGTTTGCTCTATGAAACTTCCTTTGAGAAGTGAGCTCCTTGGCAACCCGCTTTGGGGTCCCCTCCTGTCCGTCGGGAGCTCTCCCTCCATCAACTTTTCCCAGCTTTCACCTGCGCGGTTCCTCAGAGCTCATTGTTGGATTCTGGGTGCACCCCGGGCGCATGTGACCTCCAGCGGCCAGGAGTTGCATTTCCCCTGTATCACTCTTGCTGGCAGCAACCCTCAGGCAGCAGGCTCAGGCTGGCCGTTCTTGCTCTCCTGGCAGGGACCTTTGCTGCTTTGCCTGCATGCAGAGGCTAGGGTGTTTATGGAGTTTTCTGTTCCCCTCTCTGCCCAGGCGGGACTGTTTGTGAGGCTGTTTCCGTGGGGGTCCCGTGGAGGGACGGTGTAGATGAGAGGTGTTTCCTCATCCCGAGGGGGTGTCAGGCGGCACAGCGGTGGATGCTGAGTCGCCCTCGTGGAAGACTCAGTTTGGTTACTGCGGGGCTTTGGGGCCCAAGCTGGGCCTGGAGCCTGCTGTGGTGCTGTGCCCGGAGCCCCACCCCGCCTGTCCCTGTCTGTGGGCCGGGTAGGACTGTGAGATCCGCTGGCGCTGCTGGCGTCTGTGTGCCCTCTGGTGCAGTGATGCTGGCGGCGCCTCTGCAGGGCACCGTTTTGCTTTTTGACTCTGTGCCTCTGTGTGTGGATTGAAACAGCGTCACGGCGCCGGAAACGCAGGTCAGCGGGCACAGTGGGGGCAGGAATCTCCAACAGGCTGAGCTCTCCCGGCCACACCCAGCGCTGCGCAGGCTGGGACAGAGGGCGCCACCCCACACGGGAGAGGTTCCATTGGCGTCACGCCTGTTCGTGAGCACGGATGTGACCTGTGCGTGGACTGTGAGAAGGACAGCACCGGGGAAGGGGGGCAGGCAGCGAGGCTGAGGCAGGACTGTTCAGGGCCTGCCGGAGAGCAGGTGCCAGCGGACCTCTGGCTTCCTTCTGAGCATGTGAACTGGGATTCTGCAGGCCTTGGCGGGGCGTGCTGCTGTGTGAGAAGCAGCTCCCTGCTCCTGTGGGGCTGTTTCCAAGGCAACTCCTGGTGTAAGAAAGGTCGGGGAGCTTCCTGCCCAGGAGAAGGCCCGGCATCCAGAGAGGCTGCAGAGCTGGGCTGGAAGGAAGGTCCCAGCCACAGCGCTGCTTCCCCAGGCTCAGGTTGATGGGCACCTTCCTGGTGCAGAAGGCCGAGAGCATTATGGGTCGCGCAGGCTGAGACCCCTGTGTATGGGCAGCAGCCACGGTCGGGGCTCTGGGCTCCTTGCTGCCGACTTCCCAGAGCTTCCTGGCCCGGGCCACACGGCTCCCTGCAGGGGCTGAGAGGAAGGCTCTGGGTGGTGATCTCTCTCTGTCTCTCTGTGTTTCTCCCCCTTTTCTCTCTGTCTCTCTGGTTCTCTGCCATGAGAGTGACAGAGCAACTCTATCCAATAAAATAGGCCCTTGCTTGCCGCCATGTGTTTTCCCCCACAGAATGTTTTATTCTAGCACTGGAACAGTTTGCTCCTGCCCAGTGTATGGAGATGTTTCATAACTGGTTGAACTTGTGCCCTCTAAGGAATGTTGCTAGCTCTGCCCCTCTCAAGAATGATTTTAGCCACACCCCATTATAAGAATGTTGTGCTGGCTCTGCCCCCTTATAAGTATTTTGTTAAGCCCCACCCCCTTACAAGAATGTTGCTCAGCCCCGCCCCTTCTGAGAATATTCTGTAGCTCCGCCCCCCTGCTCCAGTGAGCATGCTCGCCTGCCTTGTAGATCTCTATATAAGGAGGCTCCCATTTCTGGTAGGGTGCTCAGACTTGGGAGTATGAACTCCTCTGAGCCCACCGGAGTACTAAAGGTGTTTCTCCACCTCTTCCAGTGACCCTCGGATTCTTGAGTCTTCAAATTTCGGTAGCTGCGACACTGAGCTGTGGCTCTCCGCTGTGCCTGAGAGCTGTAACACTTGGCTGCGGCACTGAGCTGTTCCGCTCTGCCACAACAAGAGGTCTGAGCCCCTTTGCCTGCCCGTCCTGACAGCTGGCGAGGGTGTGCTGGGCCCTTGTCCCTCACCCCACGCACTTGTTCGTGACAGGTGAGTGGCAGGTGAGTGGAAGGTGACCTGGAAAAGGAGGTTCCCAGTCCTCCCAGCTCAGCAGCCGATCTCATTGCCCCGAGTGTGCAGGACTTCAGTTCC